GTAATCTCAATTCTATGTAGCCACTAATCCTGTGCAGAAAAATTCAACTTTTATGAACAAAAGAAAAGCAATCTCTTTTAACTTATAAATACAAGCCAACACAGCTTGTATTGTTTTGATAACTAAAATGAAGATGTTGATTGTAAGTTCAGTTTTTGAGTTGCATTCCTAGAATTAATTTTAGAGTCGTCCTGGTCCTGAGAACTCTAACAGATTTCTTACTGTATAGGAAAACTGTCTTCATATATGTTACTATGTTAATTAGTTGCATGGCATCTACATGGATCTGTAGAACTTATATAGTCCTTTCCTATTTTTAACTTTACTTAATTCTGACAGTTCTGTAAGATTAATATTAATCTCATTTATGTGTGGTTCAGAGGTTTACTGGAAATCATCTGGTTTATAAGTAATAGGGCCAGTTTTAGAAGGCAGGTCTTTTAACTGCAAATCTGGAGCCTTTCCAATCACATCACTGTTTTTTTGTGCTTTTTTTTTAAGCTGGACATAACATTGTTGGCTCCAGTAAAGTTCATGATCAATGAAAATCTCTAGGTCTTTTTCATATGTTGCATTTAAGTTAGGTTTTCGTCATCCTCATCTGTAATTGATATTTTGAAGTTAAATCCAGGACTTTGTTTATCCTCATTCATTTTCATCTTCTTATTTTCTACTTATGGTTCTAGTGTTCTGACATCTTTTCAATCTTGAGTCTGTTATCCAGTTTACTTATTATTTCTTCCAGCTGTGTGTCAACAGCATGTTTTATAAGTAGAATACCTTTGTGATTATAGAAGCCATCTAAGCAACCTCTTTAGTATTCTGTGTGCCTATTTATCACATAGTTGGAACTTAATAAGTCATAATTGATAAAAAAAAAAAAAAAAGATTTTTGTACAGGGCAGGAAAGAAAACCCACATTTAATCTTTTACAAAAAGAAAAAAAATACCTTCATTGTAACTACTCAGTTATTTCTTTTGGACATAAGTATTCCAAGATTACCATAGAACTATTGCGGTTCTCATGTTTTGATATTTTTATAAATAACATTTTTTTTTATGGTGGATATAGTGGTTAACTATTTCCTTTCACATCTGAATCTATTCTCAGTATTTTAGGAATCCATTGCCTTGTAATTCTGGTTTCTGAAATTACACTACTGTCACTAAGCCTCAAGATTTCCTCTATAGGGGGCCTGAAGAGAGGAAATCTAGTTGTAACAAGAGCAAGGGCACTTATTCTGTAATTGTATTTACGTAGCAAGGAAAGGTTTTTACTTAGCTGTATGTCAATAATAAAAATGACACTGCTTTCTGGGGCGCCTGGGTGGCTCAGTCGGTTAAGCGTCCAACTTTGGCTCAGGTCATGATCTTGTGGTTTGTCAGTTCGAGTCTCGTGTTGGGCTCTGTGCTGACAGCTCAGAGCCTGGAGCCTGATTCAGATTCTGTGTCTCCCTCTCTCTGCCCCTCCCCTGCTCACAACTCTGTCTCTCTACCTCTAAAAATAAATAAACATTTTAAAAAAATGACACTGCTTTCTAAAGAAATGTTTATTTTGCTTAATGTGAGACTGAGAAAACATCAGTTGTCTGTACTAAATAATGTAATTATTGTATTTTTATTTGGAGTGTTTTATGAGTGGAGGTGATGAAGATTTTGTAGTGGGATGCTAAAGTGGTCTAAGCCACCCACAGGTGCTATCACTATCTGGGTACTATGGAAATGATCCTAGCCAGCCACCTAGCATCCATTTGCCTTCATGGTCTTACTGTACTCTTTATAACTCATTATGGGCAATAAGTTTATAATTCTTTATAAGTAATAACTCTAGTGAAACAAAAGAAATGTTGTATAAAGATATAATGTCAATTGTTAATACTGGTTTTGTAGATAAAAATAAAAGTTTTTGATAATGTTACTAGATTAATGATGTGATGTAATATAAACTTTACAAAGTTCATTTTATTAACAAAATATTTTAATGGCTTTCTCATTTGCTTTAATTCTATATTTATAGCCTTAATGAAGTCCAGAAAGGGCTAGTTAAAACCTTTGGTCGTATTTTAGGGCATCTCATAACGGAAACAGTATAATGGTAGTTATATTCATGTGGATTCAGGAAGATACTGAATTATAGTTCCATCATTCATAAATTAAGAGCTACTCTCTTGCACTATTTCAAATAGTTTTTGATATTTTACATTTTCACGTTTTTTTAATTTTGTGAATTTTTATGTTTAAAATGGAAGATATCAAACCCCAATTATTTAAATTTTCAAACAAATTTAATGTAATTTTTAGCGATAGGGGAACTGGAGCTCTTATAAACACCATTAGAAGCACATAAACTTGTCATTTTGGGAACACTTGCTTTTATGAAGCAACTGGATTAATCTAATTTCTTTTAACCATAGTCTGGATTTCACTGCCATTATCTCTGCAAACATCTAAGTGAGTTAATGCAGTGATCTCTCTGAATGTATAACATCATATTTACTGACTATCAAATAAAAAGTTATACTGTTTTAGACTTTATGAACTGTATCAATCAATATTTTGTAAGTAATGTTCTGCATAATGTAGTTTTTGATGTGTTTAATTTTTAAGTTAAGTCCTCTTTATTTACTCATTTATCTGAAATTTCTTAAAATTTTTTTTAAATGTTTAGTTTTAAGAGAGAAACAGAGCAAGAGGAAGGGAGGGACAGAAAGAGGAAGACACAGAATCTGAAGCAGGCTCTAGACTCTGAGCTGTCAACACAGAGCCTGACAGGAGGCTCAAACCTAAGAACCATGAGATCATGACCTGAGCTGAAGTTGGCTGCTTAACTGACTAAACTACCCAGGCACCCCTCATTTATCTGAAATTTAAACATCTGTTTCTGAAAAGGATTTGACATCTCAATTTGGAGATATCTCTCAATTATAACTAATTGTCATTATATATCTACTGTAATTACTGAAATTTGCATTGTCCATATAGATTACTTTGTTCTGAAATAAAACAGCCACTGGTTTTATGTTTGGAGAGTACATTTCCAAAACTACTTCCTTGGCATCTGTTTTACTGGTTAAGAATTAAATTTAGCTTTCTGATTTTCTCCTACTTATGATCTTTGAAGATAAATCTGAGTTTATGTTGAATATATGACCATTAAGTCTCTTCGTGAAATCTTCTTAGAATGATATGTTTGAATCATCTTTCTTATTTTCCTAAATATTCAAGTATTCACATATTCTGGAGTCTCAAGTTGATTTTTCTAAACTGTTACAAAAATTTTTTTAAATGTGCATAAAGAACAAAAATGCCAGTTGTTGCAAAGAATGAGTTTGCAGATTATGAAATATCAAGGGTTAAACGTTCCCAGTGAATAATGGAATTTTTAAGGGCAATTAAAAAAATTATTTTAGCAAGAGAGTGAGCAGGGGAGAGGGGCAGTAGGAGAGAATGAACCTTAAGCAGGCTCAACACTCAGTGCAGAGCCTGACATGGAGTTCGAACTCACAATTCTGAGATCGTGACCTGACCCCAAATCAGGAGTAGGACATTCAACTGACTGAACAACTCTGGTGCTCCAAGGGAAATTTTTATGATCTCTTGATTAAGATAGAGTATATTTCTATATAGATGAAAAAATAAGTCAAAATAAATCAAATCAAATAAATTTATACTTTCTTCTTTCTTTGTTTTACTAGATGAAGCAAACCTTAATTAGATCCCAGTTTGCTTGTACTTATAAAGATGACTGTACAATAAGCAAGGATAAATGGAATGATGTTAATTCAGCATCAAAGCCTTTGTATGCACTTCACATGGAAAATGACCTTCCTGGTAATTGACCTTATTTGAGTAATTAAATAACAATTTAATTCTAGTCTGTTCATTAGTTTTAACTTAAATAAAATTAGATTTTGTTTTGCATAGTATGAAATGTGAAATGTAAAGGTTTATGTTTTAAAACTTGAGTTTCTTTAAAAAGTTACATCTATATATAAATCTAGGAGGAATAGGACATAGTTTGATTTAACTAAATGAATTTAAAAAATAACTTGCAGTATTTATGGATTAAATGTCATGCATTCAAACAAAGCAAATATTTATTATTTATAGGGATAAAAAGTGATATGGGGAAAATGAAAATTAATGTGATAATATAGCTATATTTATTAATCATGTAATTTATGGTGTTATGTGTTTGCAAATCAAAGTTTTTAATATTCTTTGATTTTTAAAGTGTATTATAAAATTTTCACATGTAATAATGCTAAGTATTATGTAATCTCTTTCCTCTTTTCATCTTGCATAACAGAAGGTGTAAATTCATCTGTTGGAAGACCAACAATTGGAACAAGTTCTGGAAATGTTCATCTGGACAGAAGTAAAAGTGAAAAAGTTGCAAGGAAATCAAGTAGTCAGACAGGAAATAAAAGCTCAAAAAGGAAACAGGTGGATTTAGATGATGAAAATAATTGTTGTGATAATGGAAATGAACCATCTCAGCATAAAAATGTTAAGATACCTAAGACATCAAACAATTGCCAGAATAAATTGTGTGGCAAAATAGCCAGAGTAACAAAAATCAACAACTGTACAGCCAAGGACAAATTGATTACGGGCCAGACAAAGTTAACTCAATTTTTTAGACTATGAATTTGGTTTTTATGTGCTTTAGATTTCTGTATATATTAAGCCATTCACCAAAGGCATCTACTTAATTTTTAAGAGATCGAGGTATAAGTTACGATTCTTTATTATATTGGTCTAGAATATATGTATAAGGTTCGTATGTTAAGCATTTAAAAAATACTAGTAAACCATAATTATGCAGAATATTCACAAAGTTTAATGCACAGATAAAGCATATCTTTGAAGTTACAGATATATTTTATTAACTACTTTCTTTTAAAACAGACATTTAAAATAATACAAGTCATCATAACATTAAAGGCTTTTTTCTTGACAGACAAGTAAATGATTTTGTTTTCTTCAGAAAAGATGATGTGGTCCAACAGGTTTCAGACTTGCCAACAAGGTCGATAGACTCTGCCCAGCATGCACCTGAGCACTGAAGGAATAAAAAGTTTAAACTGTGTAAAGGACTATTATTATCATTACACAAAATTTTTTTTAATGTTTTATTTATTTCTGAGAGAGAGACAGAGTGAGCATGGGAGGGTCAGAGAGAGAGAGGGAGAAACAGAATCCAAAACAGGCTCCAGGCTCTGAGCTGGCTGTCAGCACAGAGCCCGATGTGGGGCTCGATCCCACAAACCATGAGATCATGACCTGAGCTGAAGTCGGACACTTAACCGACTGAGCCACCCAGGCACCCCTACTATCACACAAAATTTATTAAAAATATGAGAATGGATTTTATACAGCTAAATCTGAATAAGTCAGAATTACAATAACTCTTAAATTCTTTTTAACCCCACATCTTTGGCAGGGGTCACTTAATGTCAAGAGTATTTGTTTTTGTTTTGTTTTGTTTTTCATTTTATTTATTTCTAGGAGAGAGAGAGAGACAGCGTGAGCAGGGGAGGGTCAGAGAGAGAGGGAGTCACAGACTGAAGCAGGCTCCAGGCTCTGAGCTGGCAGTCAGCACAGAGCCGACGCGGGGCCCGAACCCACGAACCGCGAGATCATGACCTAAGCGAAAGTCGGACGCTTAACCGACTAAGCCACCCAGGCGCCCCTGTCAAGAGTATTTGAACCATGGTCTTATTTGATTTTGTTAAGATTGGATCTAAATCCACTTAAACTCAGAATTCTATTTTATGGCATTAAGATATAAGAATTGAATTTTAAAGAGACTACTCACTGTCAAAATCTCTCCTTCCTATAGGAAATTTAGCTGAGTTTTCTTCATCCCCAATTTCTCTCTTTTCTTGTGTTGATTCAGTATTCTGAACTCCATTATCAGCTGGAAAAGCTACAGATCCTTTTAGTGCAAGATAAGGTTTTAAAGCCATATTCAGTGGCAGACCATGATTTAAGAAATTATGTTTGGAGCCTGTGTTCTGTAAAGAAAAGGTTGATTTGTATTTTAGCTGTCTTATTGGGAATAGAACTATAATATAGTTGTATAATATTCTCATTAATCATTTCAAAGATGGCTCTGTACTATTTTGACTCTTTAAAACTACATTAGAAACATGTTTTGGGGAATAACCTTTTGGATAAGAGGTGTTGTCCAGAATGGAAGAACAACCTGGTATGTATGAAATTTCATCAGTTGTCCTAAAGCATAATGTGACTGCTTGCATATACTTCTGTTTATGAAATTTTACTTTCAAAGGCATTGTAAACATCATTCTAATTTCCACTGAAAAACAGATAAATCCCATTACCACTTACCTTAAAATTTTTGTTTTCTTCCTCGTTCATGAAACTGCTCTCATCATTTTTATATTGTTCCAGAGAAGGAGCAACGACTGATTTTTGAGGAGTATCTTCCTTCTGAAACGCTTTCCCCAGCCTGAATGTATTAAATACCATGTCATCTTCTAAATTTCTTATGGACTTGGATGCTGAAAATAAAATGCCTTGAGAAAACAGAGAAAAAGTTAGTATTAATATGTAGGAAGAGAGACTCATTTTTGCCATTCTTAGTTTGATGTTTGCATAGAGTCAAATAAGAGTATGTAAAAATGAAGGAAAATTTCTCAACCTGCTTTGAAAGTGATTCCTACCTTTATATATTTTCCAGTTTGAATAGAAAGCACTTCAAAGATGTAGACTTTCATCATTCTAGAAATGACACATCAGGTAGAGGCTAACCTCTTGTCTAGCTGCTAATACCTACATTGTTTGGTTTTAGTGGCATATTGTTTATTTTGAGTGTGTATTTTCTCAGAATCTGATTAAGATCCTTGGTAGAATGCTTTCTGTTGAGTAGATTATAGTCTCTTGAAAATGGATTGTTATTAGGAAGACCACAGGGCACCAAGCTGTCCATATTCTTATTATTTTCTTCTCTTTATTTTCTGATTAGGTATGGTATTAAAGCTAAAGTTATTTTATTTAAGGATGATAAAGGTTTTATTTACTTTTAATCCTGATTAAGTTGAAGTAGTCTTCAAAAAGGATTTTCTTTCATAAATGCTCAATGTAGTCTTTGGTAATTTAAGTATATATGCCTGTCAGTGTGAACAAAAAGTCATTCATGCCTTATCAAAAATTGACTTGTCATGTTTTACCTCTGCATTTACAGAAGGATATTACTGATACTTATTAATGAATTTAACAATGAATAAGAAGTCCATGAAAAGAATGTTTATGTGTTCTATAAATATTAATTTTGGGTTATATGATTGTTAATGAAACATTTTGCAATTAACTTCTCATTTTGACCCCTCCAAGTAGGAGAATACATTCTTTTATTTGTCTTCTGGTACGTATGTGCAAAAATTTTCTAGGGTATTCCTAGGTGTGGAATTACTCAGTCATGGAATACATGTGTTCAGCTTTACTAATGCCAAAATGTTTACAGAATAGTAGTCAATTTAAGTGCCCACCAGTGGGGGTTTGACAATTCCCATTGCTCAGCTTGGGTATCTTATTGTCCTTTTAATATGTGCTTCTCTAATTACCAAAGAAATTGAGTGTCTTTTCATATGTTTAGGAGCCATTTGTCATTCCTCTTATGTAAAATGCCTCTAAAAAAATCTTTGTCCATTTTTCTTTTGGTTTGTTTTTTTAATATTGATTTATGGGAGGTCTTTATCTATCCTGAATGTTATTCATTAGTTATATATGTATTAAATATCTTTTTTTCTCGTTTTGTGACTTGTCTTCTCAACCCTTTATGGTGTCTTCTGGGGCACCAAATTGCTAAATTTTATTGTTTAGATTTTTCCCCTCATAATATGGTTAGTACTTTCAACGTGTTTTTATTTAGAAATCTTTCCCAACCCTGAAATAATTATCATATTTCTATACATTCTAAAGTTGAAATGTTTCTTTTTTTATTTTATAGTTTTTATTTATTTTTGAAACAGAGACAGAGCGTGAGCGGGGGAGGGGCAGAGAGAGAGGGAGACACAGAATCTGGAACAGGCTCCAGGCTCTGAGCTGCCTGCACAGAACTGGATGCTGGGCTCAAACCCATGAACCACGAGGCCATGACCTGAGCCAAAGTCCTATGCTTAACCAGCTGAGCCACCTGGGCGCCCCTAAAGTTTAAATGTTTTGACATTGACATTTAAATTCTTAATTAATCTGAAATTTTGTGTATGATGTAGAATAGAGATAGAATTTTACTTTTTCCTGATGTTTTTACATATTTCTTGAATGATTTGTCCTGTGTCCACTAATCTGCACTGCTGTCTCTGCAGTATATCAGCTTTCTATATACATGTGGATCTCTTTCTGAACTCTTATTTCACTGCCAAATCTACAGTGTTAATTATTATAATCTTAAAATAATTTTTGATATCTGATAGGTCAAGTTTCCTAGCTCCCTACTTACCCACCAGTTTTTCTTCTATAACAGTTCCTTGGGTATTTGTCCATTTCTTTTTCATATAAATCTTAACATCATCTTTTCAAATTTTGTGAGAAACTTTGGTGGAATTTTGAAGGGAATAGTATGACTTTTATAGATTAATTTTGGAGGGTAATCATCCTCCAAAGATAAGATAGTTCATTTTCTTATCTATGAACATGCTACTTTTCCATATTTATTTAGATTTTCCTTAATCTTTTAATAACATTTACTATTTTCTTCATAAAGTTCTTACATATTTTTGTTGAAAGAATTAAAATTCTATATAATTATACTTAAACTATTTTATTGCCAATGGTATTTTTAAAAAATTTACCTTTTCTAATGTTATTGCTGGTTATACACATGCAGTTGGCTTTTGTGTAGTGCTCTTACAAATAAAATACTTCCTAAATTCTTTTTAATTCCAACTAGTTTATAAAGGTATTAATTCTTTGGGGTTTTCCATGAAGACAATTGATATAAAAAAAATAATGGCATTTTATTACCTCTTTCCAAGTCCTACTATATTTGTATGTGTGTGTGTGTCTGTCTTTGCTGTGTCTTTGTAAGCATACACACTGATACTGACCAAAATGCCCAGTAAATGTTGTGAATAGAGATAACAGACATCTTTGCAGTATGACTTGATTTTAGAGAGAGTGCTTTTAATGTTTTGCCAATGAGTATATAATTTTTCTCCTTCAATCTTTATAAAGGAAATGAACAGATTTTTCTCATGTTAAATCAACCACGTGTAAATGAAACAAACCTTTTAAAAATATAATTGGAGTCAGTGTGGTAATATTTGATTTAGTATATTTTGCATTTATTATCATGAGTGAGATTGATATGTACTTTCCCTTTCTTATGTTGCCTTTGTCTGGCATTTAGGTTGTGCTAGCTTCATAAAATGAACTGGGGAATATGTTTATTCCATTTCTTTTCTCTCCTGTAAAAACTATTTGAGTATGGTGTTTTCTTATTTTGTTTTTAATGATTCTCTTTGTTCAGTGACTGTAGGAGCATTCAGCTTCTCTGTTTCTTTCTTAGTTTGTTTCAGGAATGCATATTATTATAGACTTTGTCCATTTCACTAAAGTTTTCAAATTTGCTAGTATAAAGTTATTAATCATATTTTCTTCTAAATATTTTAAACCTTCATCTGTAGTTGTATTTCATTCTAATTATGTTTACTTGTAGTCTTATAGTCTCCGCCTGTCTTTCTTTCACCCCTCATTTTTGATCAAGCTTCCTAGAAGTTTATCAGTTTTGTTAGACTTTTCAAAATTGAACTTTTGGTTTGATGCTCTTTATTATATTTTTCTGTTTCAGTAATTTCTGCTTTTCATTATTTTGGGGGTTATTTTTTAATTTTTATAACTTCTTAAATTAGAAGAATAAATCATTAATATTTAGACTTTAAGAAAATAAGCTATATATTTCCTTTTATGTATCGTATTTGCTAGTTCCTACAATTTTGATAAGTAGAATATTTAGTGTTTAATTCTAAGTTTTTATTATTTTCATTATTATTTCTTCAGTTACTTAGGTATTTTTAACATTCCAAATATATAGGAATTGAAATTTGGAGGCAGAGAGTACCAATTTTCAACAAAATTTTGTCAGAAGTCTTGGTCTATAAATTATAGAGTATTTGAAATCTAGATTCAACAACATATAATTTTCAACTGTTTTTGACATATAAATGCAAATTTCATATAGTTCAACATATAGAAACTTTCCTATAGCCTATAGTATCTTCACTTTACATAAAAGTTCTGTCTATTCTTTTTTTTTTTTCTGAGAGAGAGAGATAGCGTGAGCAGGGGAGGGTCAGAGAGAGATGGAGGCATAGAATCTGAAACAGCCTCCAGGCTCTGAGCTAGCTGTCCACACAGAACGCTACACAGGGCTCGAACCCACGAACCATGAGATCATGACCTGAGCCAAAGCCAGACGCTTAACTGACTGAGCCACCCAGGGGCCCCAGTTCTGTCTACTCTTGAAAAGAATATGTATACATTATTGTTTAGAGCAGGGTTCTGTATGTGTCCCTAAGATGAAACATGATAATACGTTGTTTAAATCTTGTATGTTTTATTCATTTTTTGTCTACATGAACTATCAATTATAGGAAGAGATTCACAAATCACTGCAATGGACTTATCTAATTCTTTTTATAGTTTGCAATAAATTTTTGCTTTATTTATTTTGAGATTATGTTATTAGGACACTCATGATTTGAAATTGTTTCATCTTCCTTATAAACCGAATTATGTATCATGACCCTCTGCAGCTTTAATAATGTGTCTATTACTATTATTTTTCCTGTATTTTTATGTTTTAGGTGTACCTATTATAAATACCATGTAGCTGAGTTTGGAATTTTTAGTCTGACAGTCTTTGTCTTTTACTTAAAGACTTTAGTCCATTTACATTTATTCTGTTTACTGAATTACTGAGATTCATTACCATTGTCTTATTTTGTGATTTTTATTTGTTCTAATATGATTTTCTCACCCCACTCTTCGTTTCTTGCCTTCTGGTTAAATTTAATCTATTTTTGTTCTTTTAGAGGCAGCCCTAGACATTTTAATATCATCTTTAGTTATTTATGTTTTAATCTGTATTTTTGTCTTTCTCTCAAATAATATAAATATCTTAGAATCCTTAACTCCAGTTAACATTATCCCTAATTTATATGTTACTATATTTTTTTAATGTTTATTTTTGGGAGATAGAGTCACGTGGGGGAGGGACAGAGAGAGGGAGACACAGAATCCAGAGTAGGCTCCAGGCTTTGAGCTGTGAGCAGAGTTTGATGTATGTGGGGCTCAAACTCACCAAATATGAGATCATGTCCTGGGCCCAAGACAAATGCTTAACTGAGCCACCGAGGTACCCCTGTGCTGTTATTTTCTAACATTTAAGTTCTCTCTTGATTTTTTTAATGAAATAGAGACTATTCTATTGTTTTATACAATTAACATATGTTTAGATTAACCTACAAGCTTACTGTTTTTTTCTCACCATTCCCTTTTACATCTAAGATCTTCATTTGACAGTTGTCTTCCTTCTGAAATACAAGTTTCTGAAGTATACTTAGTTAGATGCTAACTTAGAGTCTGTTAGTTATGAACTGAGTTTTGTTTTGTTTTAGTTAAGTGTATTTTGCTGTTCTTAAAAAATAGTGTCAATGTCTATACAGTTATTCAGTTGACTATTATTTTCTCTTAATACATTATTATTTCAGTTTCTATTTTCAGTGTTACTGGTGAGATACCAATGCTGTCAGTTTTAATCATGATGTCTTTATAGGTAATCTCTATATTCTGTCTGCTTTTAAAATATTCTCTTTGGCTTTGGTGTTCTGCAATTTCACATGATGTTTGGATTTCCTTTAATTTATGCTAACTTAGATTCTTGAATCTGAGGGTTGAGTGTTTCTTATGAATTCTGGAAAATTATTAGTTATTATTCCTTTGAATATT